TCAATCTCTACTCTGTTCAGGAACCTGCAAGCCTGTCAATCAAACTGATCATGTTCTATCCAGAAATATATAACCCAAGAATATATAACCCAGTGCTTTGAGAGGGTGGTCATGGCCCACATCAATTCTAGCCTCCCAGCCTGCCACGATCCCCTGGAATTTGCCTACTGGCAAAACAGGTTCACAGCAGATGTCATTTCCCTAGCCCTACTCTCATCCCTGAGCAGCTGGATAACAAGGACCCCTGCGTTAGGCTCCTACTCATCAACTACAGCGTAGTCTTCATCATAATCTCTACCAGACTAATCTCAAAACTCCGAGACCAAGGTGCCTGTTCTACCCTCTGCAACTGGATCCTCAGCTTGCGATTCACAGACCGCAATCAGTAAAGACAGACACACAGCAGCACCTCCTCCGTGATAATCCTCGACACTGGCGTCCCGCAATGATGCGTTCTCAGCCCCCTACTGCACTCGCTGTAAGCCCATGACTGTGTAGCCAAATTCCGGATGAACACCATCTACAAGTTTGTTGACAACACCACTGTGGCAGGCCAGATATCAAACAACGATGAGTCAGAATACAGGAAGGAGAGTGTGTGCTTGGTGTTGTGGTGCAGTGATAAGAATCTCTTCTCTCAATGTTGGTGACACAAAAGAACTGATCACTGACTTGAGGAATAAAGGAGGAAGACACGCCCCTTTCTACATAATGGAGTTGAGGTGGAGTGGGTTGGGAGTGTCAACAACTAACAATCTGTCCTGGATCTCCCGTGGTTGCGATGGTCAAGACACAAAAACGGCTCTTCTTCCTCAATCGGCTTAGCAAATTTGGCATGTCCATAAGGACCCTCACCAACTTTTACAAATGCACCACTGAAAGCATTCAATCTGGGTGCATAATAGCTTGGTACACCAACTGCTCTGCCCAGGACCATAACAAACTGCAGAAAGTTGTGCACCATTCAGATTATCAGAGAAGCCAACCTCCCATCCATGGACTCCACTTACACATCTCATTGCCACAGAAAGGCTGCCAACATCAAAGACTCCCGCCACTCTGGTAATGCTCCCTTCCAATCAGGCAGAAGATACAGAAACTTGAACACACATCAACAGGCTGAAGAATAGTTTCTTGCCTGCCGTTATTAGATAGGTAAATAGACCTAACTTCAAATAATGTTGATCTTGCTAATGTTAATTTTGCTTTGTGCACCTCCTGTGCAGCCATAACCTTGTATGCCTCGGTCTGTCTAAGCATCCAATAATCTGTATGTCCTTGACAACAAGGTGCAGGGCTGGATGAACACAGCAGGCCAAGCAGCATCATAGGAGCAGAGAGGCTTTTTGGCCTGCTGTGTTCATCCAGCCCTGCACCTTGTTGTCTCGGATTC